TGGTGTTTTTGGGGGGGGGGGGGGGGGGGAAGAAAGGGGCTCTTTGCTATTATTACTGTCTTATTAATCTTATTGTTGTTATTGTTATCATTTGATGTTATTTTTGTTATTGCTGTCTTTATTCTCATTGATCATACACTGTCTCTTATACACATCTAGATGTGTATAAGAGACAGGCGTTGGCATGTAGAACGAAGTCGTACCTATGTGTCAATTTCAATGTAAGCATTGTTATTAAATCCGCCAAGGCGGTTATGTATTTAATGTTGTTTGTATGTCTGTTCTGGATTATGCAAAACTAATAAATGAATCATGGAATTTAATGTTTAATTTATGGAAGAGGTCAATTCTCATATTAAAAGGTCGAAGGACAAGACAAAAGTCGTATAAATTCGAAAAAATATAAAATCTACAACTCGACAATTTAACAAAATAATGGAATCGCATGTAAACGCCTTGCAGGTATATGCCTTTTTATGAAGTGACTGGCCTCTAGTTAATTGTATTATTTTCATCACCGCTGTGACCATCACCCTCATCATTATTATTAATATTATTATTAGTAATATATATTATATTATAGTATTAGTAAGAATGAACGGCTATGTGGCATGAGATTAGATGACGAGAGGTCCTGTTGTAACGTGTCGACCAACTACATTTGGCACGTGCAGGGAATTTGTAGTAGAAACTACTGCACCTCTCACCAGTTGGAATGACCAATGCAATTTTGTGATTATCTTATTAATATTTATGAGGTATAGTAATAATATTTACCATATTCTTACGTATTGTTACTGCTTTAATAACGTTAGTGGTAATAGAAGATTAACTAACCTTTCTCCTTGAGCTATCGTTAAGTAATCAGTTTCGTATGGGATTATTTCTCCGCCTTCTGTGCTAATAATCGTCATGCTGTGTTTTTCTATGTGAAATGACGTCATGCATGCTGCTATAAATGCGCCTATTAATCGTATTTTATACTTCTTCCCTGCTTCAACTTCAAACATTTGTCTCGGTGTTTTAAATATCTGACCAGTTTCGTCGAAAAATTCAATTCTTTCTCCTTTTCCGTTCATTAGTATAGTAACTGTCTGAGATCTAGGATTTAAAGCGGGAATGTTGACTTTAAGTGCAATGTCTAACGATGTCATATCAGCCCAATCCGTTAGCGTCATGGTATGTTCCGGTAGATCGAAATCATATGTGTTGCTGTTAAACTCTGTTTTTCGAGATTTTCTCACAATCAAAGGACCAAAAGCGCCACTTGCCCTCTGGTAACCTGCGTGTGAGTGCCACCAATGTGTTCCAGCGGGCTCAGCAATAAACTCGTAGACAAACGATGACCCGCGTGCTACTGCGCATTGTGTCGCGCGCGGGACCCCGTCCATCCAGTTCGTGTTTGTCTGATGAATCCCGTGCCAATGCATTGTTACTCCAGCACCGGATTGTAAGTTGTTTGTTACCTTCACTCGTATTGTATCACCTTCGCAAACCTTATAGAAATTTTGAAAATAATATAACAAGATAAAAGAAATAAAAATGCGTGTTAGTGAGACTAAGGTAAAGTTTACCTCTATAAGAAAAATAATACAGAAGCAGGAAATGGTGGAAGAGTAAGTAAGAAGTGTGATATTGCTGTAGCTAGATACTTAGACGTACTATCACATAATAGTGGGCTTAATTCTACTCGTTGAAAGTGTGCACAACCGAAGCATAGATATTGTTCCTTTCCGTGTTACATTTGATGCCTTTCACAATAAATTGTAATAGTCCTTTTTTGGGGGGTGGGGGTGGGGAAGAAAGGGGCTCTTTGCTATTATTACTGTCTTATTAATCTTATTGTTGTTATTGTTATCATTTGATGTTATTTTTGTTATTGCTGTCTTTATTCTCATTGATCATACAACTAGGCCTATCATTATTATTATTATTACTGTTAATTCTATTGTTTTGATATCAATGTGCTTATCATTACATATTAATTATGTTAATACTGCAATGTGTTCTTGCAGTTATCAACGGTAACTATAATATTATTTTTCTTTTTATAATTGTTACTGCTTGTTATTACTATAATTAGTGTTATTGCTTTTATTATTATCCATTTTGTTATTACTACTATTATGAATATAACATTAAACATTATGATTTTGGGAATCAATCAGAAAACCAATATGGCCTCAGGATATCCTCCATCATTTTGTTACATTCAACCTTAACTGCTTAATTTTGGTCAATTTTTCTTGATATTGCCATAAAAATTAATTCGTAAATATTATATTAATTTTTTTTTGTTTAGTTTGATTTATTTGCTGATGGTTAACAATTTTGATAACAATTGAGATCACACATCTTAATTATCAATATTGATGCATTATTATGATTTTGCATCATCATTATAATATAAATATTACCACAATGCTTGGTCCTGGTAATGATCCATTTACAGCTATCAAAGGTCTTGAAGACCCGTCAACAGGTACACACTTTTCGAGATTACAGTCTTCTTTCTTAAACGGACAGTCCCCACAATGAGCTGACATTGTCTGGTGTAATACGACGTTAAATTCATATTCGCATACCGTTGGTTTAGACGGATATTCGCACTCTCGATAGCAATTGCTTGAAATCACAGGCGTATTGGTAACAATCTCTTTCCTTTTACACTCTAATGGTTCACCTAAAATCAATTAAGGATATCGATTTAACATTACTATGTTCTTTATCATTTGTATCAGTTATTTGTTCTCTTCAATGTTTTATAACCCTACATAACTATGACTTAATGTCTCTGAAATGTAGATGAAGGCAACAATAGTACAAAGTTTGTACTATTGTATTTTTGTAGTAACATCTTCAATATCTGTATTTTTGTTGTAAACACATAAAAAACAATTAATAACTTAATCAAAACATATTAACCTATACAATTATAGTATGTATTATTTTATAGAAGTGGCATGAGATTAATATTAGCCAATTATAGCACTTGTTAGCTCGTACGATCCTGTAATGTTTTATAACCCTACATAACTATGACTTAATGCCTCTGAAATGTAGATGAAGGCAACAATAGTACAAAGTTTGTACTATTGTATTTTTGTAGTAACATCTTCAATATCTGTATTTTTGTTGTAAACACATAAAAAACAATTAATAACTTAATCAAAACATATTAACCTATACAATTATAGTATGTATTATTTTATAGAAGTGGCATGAGATTAATATTAGCCAATTATAGCATTTGTTAGCTCGTACGATCCTGTTCCTTCACTTTTATTATTACGATACTTAATACAATTGGTCTAATGAAAGGTTCACTAAAAAAGACTTACCGATTTTCACTAGAAGTAAGATCTCTACTACTACCACCAGTATTTGAGACATAGCAATGCTGTTTCCGTATCCCATTACCATTAAGGTATTCATTATTGAGAATCTTAGATGTAGAGAGCGTATTAGTGTTATACAAATGGTTATTAAGTTGCTGGTGGTATACGGATGAGAGTGCGTGTCTGCCGAATATAGGCCTATTGTAGTTTGACGGCTACAATAACAAAGCCGGTACCAGCACTAGTAACCGGCAGTATGATAAATCCATAAGCATATTATGTCTAAGATTATTCTATACTACAGTATGGGCATATGCCTATATAATTAATTGACACTGAACCGCTCAACAAGAGTATCTAATAAGGACGTTTCACCACAGGTTGCTATGTAATACATGAGCATTTTGTTGAAGTGTGTCTACACGTCTATTTGATGACAATATGAAAGTAATATTTTTTTAAAAGCCTGATTTTTGTTTTATTACGGTACTGAATTCAAATGTTTTATTAACACATGGATGTAGTTTGGTTAATCATAACATCCTAGTGTAATTATGGTTTTTAATAAAAGTAGTAAAATCTAGGTCTATGGACAGATACAGACAGACATAGTAGGTATTTGCAGGGGCCATTTCAGTTTTTTTAGCCCATGTAAAATCGAAGTAGTGACTGATTAAAAATAACTACAAATGAGCAACAAATATTTAATTATATATATATATATATATATATATATAAATATATATATATATTGTATACATAAATTATATATAGGCCAATTATACAACCTACACTAGATTCATGTTCACTTTTGTATATTTTGTCAAAAAGGGAAGGTGCACGTTATAGGCCTATATCGAGAAATAGTATTTTATTCTTTTCTGTTCTACTTCATTCAAATGTACTTTGACTGTTGTTTGCTGAATAAATGTTATTTGGATTTCAATTTGAATTAGCACAGGCTAATTTTTTTTCGCAATTATCATATTTCGATTTTTTCCTAGGATACAATATTTGTTTTATTCGTAAGAACTTACATGCAAATTTGCCCACTTATTATTGAGATAATACTTTATTATTGAAAACAACATGAACATCGTTTGTCTTGGTAAATAAATATAAAATATAAAAATCTATAAAATCATGTAGGCCTATAATTTTCTAATCTAGATTGACTGGTGTTAGAACTTGAATGTTATCAATTTGTAAATCCTAGCCAATAATAGAACATCTTATTGTGTTGATTATCTTGTTTTATTCTCTCAGTGATACAATAGGAGTTGGACAAAATAAAGAAAGAATGAACTGGTTTACTAAAGAAAACAAATTCTTACCCGATGTGTCTAGTTGACCAATGCCACTACCAGAAGTATTTAAGACATTACAACACTGGTGTCGTATCGCCTGAAGATTAATGTCTAATATTTTTCAGAATTAAATAATATTTTATTCTGAATAAAAATAGACTTAGGCCTATTATAAGTATATAATATTGTATTGTGGTACGGATGACAGAGAATTTAGTTACTATCTTTAAGTGCTGTCTCCTTTACAATTAGACGACAACATTTAGGCCTATACCAGTGTCAGTATATGGTCAATTAAAGCCATAAACAATTAATCTATATGATTAATTCATGCTATTTACGGATTACTCTATTATATTAATCAAACATTTTACAACATATTTTATCCGGGCTTTGGATATATTAGGCCTATTATATTTTTTTATGTGGAATTTTACTCTTAATATTCAGATTCAGGTTCGTCTTTATTCGTCATATACCAAGTACATGGCATTATTTCCTGGATAATTATGCACATACAACCACAATCTTCGGAAATGATATTAACACAAAAAATATCAGTTGCATTTTCCACAGGCAGACTTACCGTATCTAACAAATTCCTCGAATAGTATAACATTTATCTTTAGAGGCGATTTTCTCTTTAGTAGGTTTTTAGACATCTGAACTTTAAGAATGATCTTACTCGGTTTTACTCAACCTAGGAACATGATTTAAACGCCCGGAAAATGAAGCTTATATATTCATCTATCTAAATATATCAATAACCCATTTTTTATTTTTTGTACCACAAGACTCATTTTGTCATGACAGCTGACTTATTATTAAGCTAAGATGAGAGAATTCGATATACGTCTATATGAATATCCTAAGTAGCGTGGCCGACCGGTCTAAGGCGCTGGTTTTATTGGTTTTAGGAACCAGTAATTTGATGGCATGGGTTCGAATCCCACTGCTGCGAAAATATTTGTACGATTCAAGTTCGATTATTTTTTTGTGTGTGATTCAACTTGTTTTACATGATGTCATTAGTCCAATAAACACGAAACATACTTGTTACTTGTAACTTGTATAGCGCCTTTCTTTTCAGTTATACGAAGCGCTGTGAGCGACTCTCCACAATATGTCTGAAACATCCCCCGAGTAAAGCTTGCAAAGAACCAAACCCATGTGAGCTAACTTAACTAATGAAATAAAGCAGTTCAAAACTAAGAAAACAAAGAAAACAATAAACAATAACGATCAAGCAACAAACAAGAAACATAATATAGGCCTATACCAATTCAAAACTCAGATATATTTACTACACTCCTTCAGTGCGATGTTTAATAATAGGCCCTATATAATTAACATTCAAATTTTGTTAAAGTTTTTCGTGCTGAAATTTGACTGTCTTCTGTGATGAATAAACACAACCCCCACCCCCCCCCCCCCCCCCCCCCCCCCCCATTTTTTTTAACGACTCATTTTGTCATGACAGCTGACTTATTATTAAGCTAAGATGAGAGAATTCCATAAACGTCTATATGAATAGCCAAGGTAGCGTGGCCGACCGGTCTAAGGCGCTAGTTTTTATTGGTTTTAGGAACCAGTAATTCGATGGCATGGGTTCGAATCCCACTGCTGCGAAAATATTTGTACGATTCAAGTTCGATTATTTTTTTGTGTGTGATTCAACTTGTTTTACATGATGTCATTAGTCCAATAAACACGAAACATACTTGTTACTTGTAACTTGTATAGCGCCTTTCTTTTCAGTTACGAAGCGCTGTGAGCGACTCTCCACAATAAGTCTGAAATATCCCCCGAGTAAAGCTTGCAAAGAACCAAACCCATGTGAGCTAACTTAACTAATGAAATAAAGCAGTTCAAAACTAAGAAAACAAAGAAAACAATAAACAATAACGATCAAGCAACAAACAAGAAACATAATATAGGCCTATACCAATTCAAAACTCAGATATATTTACTACACTCCTTCAGTGCGATGTTTAATAATAGGCCCTATATAATTAACATTCAAATTTTGTTAAAGTTTTTCGTGCTGAAATTTGACTGTCTTCTGTGATGAATAAACACAACCCCCATCCCCGCCCGCCGACACACACACCACATTTTCCTTAACATGTAATCCTGAGACTTGTTTTCAGTATGTTTATTGATTAAACTAATTATAGGGGAAGATGTTTATTATAATAGTTCAACATGACAATTGCTAACTGAACCCTATTTAAATCATAAACATTTAACATTTGAAGTTGTTTGATTAATGGTTCATAAGGTGTACGAATTGAGGATCGTATATAATTCTATCAGCACGTTTTTGTAATTTATAACGTTTATCTAAGTTTCATTGAAGGTTTCGGATTTAAGTTCAATAACATTATTATTAAAACCATTTTTTATTTCTAAAATTTGGTTCCATGAGTACTATGAACAATTATATAATTAGTTTTTTGAGTATTGATAAAAAGTTTGTCACAATAGCCAATCACAATATTTAGGACTATTGGACTAAGAAATAATGAATTTGGAATGGGATTAGGTAGAAAATCTTGGAATGATGTATCAATTCGGAGAATTTTATTAGCAAGGGAGGGTCCAATTTCAACAAAATGTTTATTGAATGCATTTGAGATATTGAATGGGTCACTTGTCATCACCGTTGCAGTTTAGGGAAGTATTGGGATGTTCCATACTAGTTTTGTTGATTATGGAATTAATAGTCATCCATTTAGCCTTGGCATCATTTTTGTGTTTAAGAAACATGTTTTGATAGTGCATAGATTTAGAAGCTTCAATCATTGAATTCAGTTTATTTTGGTATAGTTTATAGGCTCTTTCGTTATTAATGGATGGACAGTGCAGAAATTGGGCAAATAACTTATTTTTGTGTCTAATTGATGTGAGGAGACCATCCGACATCCATGATTGTTGTTGCTGTTGTTTATGAATGGTTTTGAAGGGGTAAACCTTTATCGTAAACGGACTTTAATGTTTTTTCAAACTTACTGTAAGCGTCATTGGGATCATGGGAACTAATTACATCAGCCCACTGTTGAGAGGAAACGTCGAAGCGAAAGTATTCAAGTGTAGTAGGGTTTATTTTTTCTAAATGTAGTTATCTCTTAAGACCTTGTTTGAAGTAGTTGTAACGCTGTAAAAAGGTGTAATATTAAAAACCAGGAGTCTGATCGGCCTACTTAATAATTTGATGTTTCCTTTTTTTAGAATTTGTATTGCGGTAGGAATTTTTCTTCTGTTTGTTTCTTGTGCAATTTGGTGTTTTCTTTCAATGCTTTCTTTAGTTTTTTTTTCTATTGATGAACTTAATAAAATTATGAATGATTGTAATAATAACAGGCTAAATAATAATGACCACGTTTTTTTTTCTTGTGCAATATTAAAATAAATATTGAATTAATTAATGTTTAGAATTAGAATAACTATTTTTATAATGATAATGATTTTGGCGTTATTATTTTCCTCTTTTTTAATGTTTTTTATTGTCATGCGCATTTTTTGCCTTTAAAGTATGAATGATTACAATTATTACAATAATATATTAATTATGATCATGTTATATTTGGCAATTCTTTTTTACCTTTGTATTGTGTATATTTGAATGTTTGAATAAGAGAATTAAATTGAAAAAAACCAACAGTTATTATACCCAATGTATATTACGGCGATGAAGATTTTCAAACTATTTGTATTTATCAATCAGTAACACAATTGTACCTATTAACATTTATATTTATGTTTAACCACAAATTATTGCATCATGATGCCTACCTGCAGAAGTTTGTTTGTTTTTTGCTATTTTACACAAACATATACATTTATATAAATAGATATAAGTGTATTGTGTGTACAGTCGTCAACTGTGTTTAAGAACCTCCTTTACAGTATTTTAATAGCTGTGACGCCGCTGGTGGCGCTATATCATCTTCATTTGCGAGGCTGGTTGCGGTGTCAATATAGCGGATAGGTGGATATATTGACTGCAGTTTGGTTACAAAGACATACGTATGCTGTTTTTCTTCTTTGTTTTTCGTGTATATTTTTGCCAGAGTTTTATTCCCTTTAATATTTTTAATAATAATAATAATAATAATTATAATAATAATATTAATAATAATAATGATAATAATTAATTATAATAATAATAATAATAATAATAATAATTATTATTATTATTATTATTATTATTATTATTATTATTGCTATTATTATTATTATTATTATTATTATTTCTTTAATAAATAATATATCACTTTATATGCAGCTTATAATATTTAGTGTAGCATTATTATTTAGCATGATAATTATGCATGAAGTTTTATAATTAATTACAGTACAGTCTGTTGACGGCTATTATGTCCTCCGAAAAAATAGAGCTACATTAGTAACTCTGTAGGCCTAAGTATTATTATTCAGAATATTATCATTATTAATATTATTAGTATTCATTTTAATCATGGTACCGATTATTAAGGAATTTATTTGAAGGCCCATCACATGATGTTCAGTGTAGCCTATTTTCAGATCTTCTAACCGAACTAAACAGTAACCATTCATATTAGTAGCCCTCTTAGTTCAAGTTCAAGTTTTATTTCAAAATATCATCATTGTAGCTTTGCAGCTAAATTGCGAATGATACATTATGAAAAAAATAGAGTTGGGTCTATACATTGCACAAAGATTACGAAACAACATTTATATATAAATTCAAAATATAAGGGTAAAGATACACAACAGTAAAAATGTATTTATTTAAAAATTAAACTATGATTTATGTGTAGGATGAACTGATTAATCTTGACTTAATGTTAATATTGAGATAGAAGTAGATAATGCAAGTCAACAGCACATGAGCATTCATTCTTATAATTGAAACATATGCTTGTACAAACATACAGAAGATTTTTTTTTCTAAATTGAAGCAAAACTTAGTAGTCTGAACAAATATTGTGACTTGATTTTTAGTAAAAGGACTCTATATGTGATTTTACTATTCTCACAACAGTTTATATAATTGACCAAATATTTTAATTATTTCGATTTGCAAACATTGCACTGCTTCGCTTTAATATCCATGTCTACTTTGGCTCCCAATGTGCACACGTTGGAAAATCTGATGGAGGATTCGGCATTTCACTTGGTTCGCCGACTTGTATTACCATAGCCATTCCTCTCTATAAAAATAACCAAGATTTGAAATATTAGATATCATTCAACATTCAACAATTGCATATTTTAAACAAATATAACTAAATAAGAGTTCGTCAACGCCAATCAGTAATACATTTCAAAACGGTGTGTTGTGGATAGAGATAGGCCTATAGCAGCACGTCAACACACCACAGGAGTAATTTTAAGATTCAACATTTATCATGGATAGTAGATTGGCACTAAATTACCGGGTAAAAGTGTTACAGTCTAACCTAATGCAGATTGCATGAAGATGTGTACACTTACTTCACCGTGATTCAGTATATGACAGTGGAACAACCAATAACCTGGATTATCCGCCTTGAATCTCAAGATGGTATAACCATTTTCCGGCACCAGCACTGAGTCCTTTAACACAGATTTTTCTAGAGAATGTCTCAAAAGTCCTCCTGAAAAGGAAGGAAGATGTGTATAAGAGACAGGACATATTTTGAGCAACTTATTAAGGAACTTACACTTTCTATCTATTATCGCCTTTCTGCTGCTGTTTGTCAAGCGAGCTTTTGTTAGACTACGTAATGATAATAATAATAATAATAATAATAATAATAATAATAATAATAATAATAATAATAATAATATTTTAACTGAAATTGAAATAGAATTGAAGTAGTTTGATGAGTTTAAGTATTTTCATGGGTTGTTGTTTTGCTTGTATCTGTTAAAGTGGTGTTCTGTCCTCACCTCTTATTGATTTGATTGAATTTTATATTTATCCAATTTTGTTGTAGCTTTTATTTTAATTGTTCTGGTATATGCGTGAGTGCCATAATCATACTTTTTTATCTCAGCCCCACCAGGGCAACAGCATAATGCGTCTCTGTAATCGACTGTAGGACATAATATTATATCCAGTGGTGTAAAAAAGAAGTGGGGTGGCGGCGGGGCCTCATTAAATTTGTTAAAATATTTTTTGAATGGGGATAACAAGACAATTATATTCACAAATTTATGTTTGTGAGTGCCACTTCCGGCCTTCTATAGGTGCCATAAGCATACATTTTCTTACCTCCCCAACCATGGTGGGATTGAGGTGGTGTGAAAGTTCCTCCTTGGCCAATTTATGTCAAATACCTGGATCCGCCACTGATATCATATCATTTATTCGTCATGAAAAACATTTAAAATAACAATACAAACATGATTAAAATACGAGCACATCTAAAATCGCTCGTATCACTAACCCAAAAGACAGTGTGCTATAGTAAGTTTTCCTCTTCCCATGTGAAACAAAAAGAGAGTAATGGTGAAATTGAACCAAAAATATATGTTCCCATGGTTCAGCTGAAACCCATTGGCTACATACAAGTCTTACCAACTCAGCTAATGTTTTCTACTGACGATGATGTTAGTAGTGGTGGTGGTGGTTCTGGTCGTGATGACGGTGAAATTTATGGGTTGACCATAAATTTTTCTCTTCAGTGGGGTTATAAACCCACTTTTATTTCTTCTTTTGGGCTAATCAAGATGGCGGCAATGTGTTGGTGTTGGTGATAACCAACAAATTATAACAATAATCTACTTACCTGTCCAAGTTTAATCTTTAAAACATTTGTGCAAACACAATGGTCAATGCCGCACTTATCGTAAAATGTTCTGTTCATGTTTGGTTGACATATGTCAGATTCTATAGGTTCATTATTCACAAATGGTGAAATTGGAGGAATGAACACAACATTGTCAACGAGTGGACGCCCGTATTGTTGGCCGGCAATTCGTCCCTTGGAAAATAAACCGAACGAAGTAATCGTAATGTAATGCGTTGAATCGACATGGTAGAATTCTGGATCAAACAGTTCTGTAAATAAGTAAACGTACAATATCATGATAACGATTATGTGTAAAGGTACCGTATGTTTTGTTTTCTAAGTCTGCATATTACATAACATTATAACAATACATTACGTTATAGTTTTCAGCATTATCAAAATTATAGAGTGCGGTATTCATGTAATTTTATATTATCAGCTGGATTATGAAATTATTGTGTGAGCGGTTGACGCAACGGTTGCGTTTCGTCGGTCTCTCAACCTAGAGGACGGGTTTTCAAACTTTGCTGTGCATTTCACAGATACGATTTCACTCCTATCTTTGGACAAGACACATTACCTAAATTTGTCTCTCTTCACACACCCACCTTTCCACACTGATTTTTTAAGGCGACGAGGAAAGGAACTGACCACCCTACCACAGTATGCCGAGGCTTAGTACGATGGGCTCTTAACAGCTCATTCCCCTACGCATGAATACAGCATTACCTTCAGGGGCATATCCAGAGATGTCCGAAAGTGGGGGCCGAAAGGGGCCTAGCCGCATAAAGTGGGGTCGACTGCGATAACACCACCCTAGGTGGTCCAGAGGCATGCCTCCGAATTTTTTTGTTTTCTGAGGCGATTGGAGCGATTATTTTTTCCTTTTTTTTTTTTTTTTTTTTTTTACTTTCCAAAAGAAGCCGGGCCTCTCCCTCCCCCTTAAATCCGCTCCTAATTTTCCCTTTACATTTAGCTGCATTAAAAACATACACGGAAATTATTTTATCCACACATATAAGTGGTTTTCCTTTACATAAATAAAAAATGAAATTCTTAAAATTAATACAAACCGTTTTAAAAATTCCCAGATCTGCCCGACCTAAAATCCCGTAAAACAAATATTTTTACAAAAAGACGTTTTTTAAAGAGAGGAAAATGTTTCAAGTTTCATAACTACTGACGCTTACTGTTCGTTCGAATAGCATCTATTCCGATTGCGTCGCGGGACGGACGGGACATCGAAATGCAGTGAACAATTGGAGTGAAAACATTGTAGAGATAGTGCAGCGATTTTACGTAAACTTGTTTTATCAACAACATTGCAAGTAGCAGGATGGATATTTTAGAATGATAAAAATGATCATAAACATTTTGATTGTTTGTAAAACAAACAGAAATTTGCTTGTGCCTGCTTGTGGGAAAACAAGCGTATTTATGGATAGGCCAACTTGTGTTTTCACGAACAGGCAAAGATGCGAACCAACGA